CGGGGGAATATTTTTTTGGTGTTTTATCCCCCCATTTTATTTAAAAAAAAAAAAAAAAAAAAACTCGCTAATATAAGCTCACTATTGAATAGTTTACTCCAATTTATTTAATATCTTTCAATTTTACACCAACTGTTAACACTGCATAAAGCATTTCAAACAAATAAAAGCTAAGGGCTCTTTCATGTCCATAAAGGGAACGTGGTCTTTTAGCATTAGAGAAATTCACATCTCACTAAAGTAAAGCATTCAGAAGTCAGCACACTGGCCTCCTACCTAGCCCAGCATGGTCCAGTGGAACTTTCTGGAACATGACAGACAACTTCGTTATCCACTGAGATGACTGCTTAGCACTTGAAATATGGCTAGAGAGACTGAAGAGCTGAATCTCTCATTTTAATGCACTAAAATTTAAGTGTGCAGGCCTGGTGGCCTGGGCTACTGCACTGAACAGTGCAGTTAGAGGAACCAGGAGAAAGTAGAGACTTTGAAACATTCTTCCTTTAGCTTGGGCCTTGCTGACAAGCTCATGGCTGTCCCAGATCTGTTCAGAAGTTGTGAGAGAAACTCCAATTTCTTTTCTACTCTTCCTTGGACTAAGGAGGGTGTTTGTGACTGCCATCTTCAGGAAGACACCATTTGTCCAAGTCACTCCCGTCTCAGTAGAGGGGCCAGGACTGCTGATGGCAGAACATTCAGCTCACTGGCCCCGGCAGGAGGGCTTCCTGTCAAGGAATCTTCGCCCAGACTACAGAAACAGGCAAACAAACCCCATGGTGCCACAGATAGGAACTGCTAGGAGTGTCCAGCCTCCACCTAATGACCCAGAGCTTGTGCCAGGGGAAAACAGCACCTCTAAATAAAGTTGCCAAACTCCCAAGGCAAATGAAAACAAGCCCAGGCATTAAATACAGTCAGAGGAACCAACAGAAACACAGAAGGCAAGGCCAGCAAAGCTGCTATAATGGAAAGAAACACCGATTACTGTTTTTGGGCATAGTGGGGTGACCCTGGCAGCGGGGGGCCTACAGTGCTCACCTGCAGGCATATTCCACTGTGTAGATGGCTCCCTGACTCTGCTCCTCCCACCGCTGCATGTCGGCCTGTGGGGAATGGGGGGCTGTTAGCAGTGGGGGCTGCCACCTCTATCCTCCCAGCTCTCTGGGATGAAGCAACCGATCACCATGGCTACAGAGACTGACCCCTCCAGACCACGACCTGCAACTCCCCTCCCCCACCAGTCTAAGCTTTCTGTGAACACCTGGCTATAATGCCTTCGGGACTTTGCACTGACTGACTGTTCCCTCTGCCTGGAGTGCCCTTCCCTCTAGTCTTCACACAGCTCCCTCCTTCTCACCATACAGGTCCTAATGTAAGCCTGTTGTCCCCTTCCTCCAAATCTGCCCCACATCTGTCCACCTATGGCCTCAACCTGGCTCAGTGACCATATACCTTCTTGCTGGTGTCTCAACCTTGACTCTTATCCCAACAGCTCCTGTTCCACCAGATGGCCCCAGCTCATGACGTCTGAACCCTGGGGGCGTCAGTGGCAGGGGTGCAGGGGCTTACCTTATGCTGGGCCAGCTCTGGCAGAGAGCGGCGAACATGTTCCTGCAGCCGGTACAGGGCCACAGATGGCTCGTTGGCCAGGACGTAGACGCTCTCAGTGAACTTGTCTGTGACTGGGTCCAAGATCAGCCATCGGAGTGGAGGGCAGCAGAACAAAAAGGGGAGACAGGAGCAGGGAACAGACACAAAGAGACAAAGCATTAAACTCCTGATTGCTCAACCTGTGAGTCCAGCCAGAGCGGTGAGGAGTGTCTGGTCCACCACGGCAACTGGGTCACCTGTGGCCCAGACTATAGTTTGAAGGAAATGGTCACAGAAGGCCTCACTCATGATATTATTAATGCATCCAGTGAACTCATGACCTTTCCCCTCCCAAGCCCACTTGTAGTGGACACTGCTGCTGCCCACTCAGATCCCTATGCATCCCTTTTACCATAAATGAATAAATGAATCTGAGATTCTTCCTGGAGGATGAACTGGATCAGAAAGTGCCTGGAAGGTTATATCCCTGGGTAGCCCTCAGTCATGACTAAACATCGAGAGATATGAAAACCTGTGTCCCCCGCTGTGCGCTGGGACAATTGGAAGGCGTATCTTATCCCCTTGAGCCCCCTGCAGAATCCAACTGAGGCCTCCCTCTGTGAGATTTTATCTTTGCTCAGCCTACTCCTCAGACCTGTCCTATTTCCCCCTCTCCCCTGTGGGGCTAAGTCAGCCGGTCATCCACACTGTCCATGAGCAGATACTTCTGGTTCTGCCACAAAGAAAGGCCAAACCTCACGCATTATTACCACCTATTGCCCCCACTGGTCCAAGCATGGCCACCTCCCCTGGATGACAGATTCAGCTCCTCCTTGGTCTCCCTGCTTCCCCTCTTGCCAACAGTCCCATTTCCACAAAACAGATAGAGTGAGTTCCTAACAATAAACATATCAGGTATGTCCCTCCCGTGCTTGAAATCTTCCCTGGCTCCTATTAGCCAAAGAATAAAATCCACCTTCCTCACTATGGTCCCTAAGGCCCTAAGTGTTCTGTATGCTGTTGACCTCCCTGCTCTCTTCACCCTCTGCCCAGGCACAATGGCCTCCTAACTTCTTTGGACACTCCCAACACAGTCCAAAAAACCTTGCAGAGATGACTGAAAGGTTCTATAATCTATACTGTCCAGTATGGTAGCCACGAGCCATGTGCAGCTACTGGGCACTTGAAATGTGACTAATGTGACTCAGAAACTGAATTTTTAATTTATCTTAATTTTAATTAAACACTCACAAATACTGTGACCAGTTGCTACTGTATTGCAGTGCAGCTCTGAACACTTTGCCACCTCAGGGCCTTTGCATCTGTTGTTCCTGCCACTGATATGCCCTTCCCCTAGGCTTTTCTTCATGCCTCATATCTCAGCTGAAATATCACCTCCTGGGCAAAGCCTTCCCTGATTACCAAACTTAATCAGATGTCCCTTCTACCTCACTCTCAAACTCAGCACATTGTTTCATTTCTCTTATAAATTCTCATTCTTTATTAGGCTACATGTTTAAAGAAAAAAATAATTAAAGCTTAGATTATTGAGGGTAGGGGCTTCTCTGAGACTCAGTTTCCTCCTCTACAAAAATGCAATGATAACAGTACCCACCACAAGGTTAGCTACAGAGACGGACCCCTTGCCACTGTCCAGGGCAGTGCGGTTGGCAAGAGAGCGAGCGCTGGTGTGTCTGGGAGTCAAGAGAAGTTGCAAATGACTCTGTCCAGTGTGAACAGGTCGGGCTCACGGGCCTAACCTTCCACTTCCAAACTGTGTGTCCTTTTACTGTGTTAGGTCTCCTCGTTTTGAAAATGAGCATAGCAAAGCTTACACCTCAGTGTTGTTACAAAGGAGGTGGAATTAAATGTACTTGTGCCTTTTAATTAACTAGAAATGTGTGTAACGAAGTAACGAAAAAACTTTGATTTAAAGTTTGTGGCGTTCTGTAACTTGTAACTATGTGATTTACGAACATTTGATAAGCCAATGTAAACATACACAAATGCGTTAATATAAAAGGCAACAATTCGCACACGATTGCCACTCCCTAAGCGTTCTTCCAATGCATTACAAACATCAGGTCACTGAATTCTCACAATAACCCTACATGTGGAGGGAAGGAGATTATTATATCCCCCATTTTGAAGATGACAAAACCGAGGTACGGGGACTTTCTAAAGGTTTCAAAACTTGTAAGCAGCCGAACCAGGATTCGACGGTAATTCAGTGTCTGCCCCTCACGCTCCCTCCCCGCCTCTGCCCGCTCCTGCCACCTGTCAGTTGGTTCCTCCGCGAGTTCCTGACCGCTCTGTTCAGGCCTGGGCCGCGCTTTACCTTTCTTCCCCTTTAGCTGCATCTCGGGTTCCTCCATAGCGATCGCGGCCCGCAGAACCTGAGAACCGGAACCGGAAGTCTGGAGGTGGGGACAGATGCCTAAACTTTCCTTGAGAAGCCGGACACGGCCCTACCCCAGTTCTGGTACCAATTGGCCTGGCCTCCCCACTCCTCCGGCTACCCAGACAGGAGAGGAGCCGTGAGTGAGAGACTGAGGAAGGAGGCACAGTGGGAGGTGGGTGAGGAGGGGGCGGGGACCCCCTGAAACTCCAGAAGGGTCACGGAGGCGGGAGGGACAAGGGCGCCCTTCCTTCCCGAACTCCTTTTCCGGGGGTGGAGGAAATGGAGAAAACACTCCACACACCGTCCACTTCGGGCCGCGTAAACGGCTTTTTTGTCCCCCATGCTACCATCAAATCCCTGCACATGTTCATGTGACCCCTGGACAGCAGAGCGGACGTTGTTATGGACGGGGTAGGTTATAGTGTCGCCCCTTTAAATTCCGGACGCCCCGCCTGCTTCCTCTCCCCTCCCTCTGACTGGAAAAAGCCACGCCTGCCCGCCCGATACTGGAACCCATTGGCTCCCTCTGGAAAAACCTGTGGGCGGAGCTGGGGGAAGACCCGAGCAGGGTTCTCAGAGCCCTCTGAGGCTCCGCCCATCCTCGCTACCCTGAGGGTCCTTCCCGCGCTCCTAGGACGAGAACGCGCAGGCGCAACTGCATTGCTGCCCCCCCCGAGGTAACCACGCCCCTTCCCCAAGCCTTAAAGGACCAGGGGCAGCTACTAGGGCTACGGCCCTTCCGCACTTTTGTGGGGCGGGGGTGCGCAGGCGCAGTAGAGGAGCGCTGGGTTGGGGGTAGCGGTCGCGTATTAAGTTGCTCTCTGTCCCGGCAGAAACAGCCAGGTTGCTGAGGGTCCACGCTCCAGCTTGCCCCCGCTACATCAATTGGAGGAGAAAAGTTTGTGAATTGGGCCCCCAACTTTTGGGGGACCCAGGCTTTCTGCGTGGGCGGAGCGGGGGAAGACCCGAGCAGGGTTCTCAGAGCCCTCTGAGGCTCCGCCCATCCTCGCTACCCTGAGGGTCCTTCCCGCGCTCCTAGGACGAGAACGCGCAGGCGCAACTGCATTGCTGCCCCCCCCCCGAGGTAACCACGCCCCTTCCCCAAGCCTTAAAGGACCAGGGGCAGCTACTAGGGCTACGGCCCTTCCGCACTTTTGTGGGGCGGGGGTGCGCAGGCGCAGTAGAGGAGCGCTGGTTTGGGGGTAGCGGTCGCGTATTAAGTTGCTCTCTGTCCCGGCAGAAACAGCCAGGTTGCTGAGGGTCCACGCTCCAGCTTGCCCCCGCTACATCAATTGGAGGAGAAAAGTTTGTGAATTGGGCCCCCAACTTTTGGGGGACCCAGGCTTTCTGCGTGGGGTGACAGAGGAGGCTCGTTGGAGGTGAGTGAACCTCTTGGATCGGTTTGGAGGAGCTGGTGGGATGGAACCAATTATATCTTTGTCGAGTCCACAGTCATTCCAGGGCCACCTTCCAAAAAAATAACTACAGCGAATGTTTATTAAGCTCTGTCAGTATATCAGGCCCTCTGCTCAGCTGTTTACAGACATGACTTCTTTCAGACTTCATTTCCCTATTTTATTAATGAAGGGACTTAGGTTCAGAAAAATTAAGTCATGTGCCCAAGTTCACACAGTCTAAGTGGAAGGATTAGAACCCAGAAAGAGTTGGCCCCAGAGCCAGCGCTTTTAAGCATTGCCTGTTGTGTGTCCTGGTGGTGGGGAGGAGTGGGCCTGAAAAGCAGATGGACTCTGGTTTAATTTCTTGGCTGAGCCAGAGTTTACCTACCTTTACTGTGCACAGCCAGGTATGCAGTTGGTGCTTACGTAATAAGAGATGTTGACAATTGACATCATTCTCCTTTTGGCACCTCCACCAGCTTCCCCCATGGAACCTATCCAGCCTGCAGAGGACCTCAGCCTGACCCAGCAGTCCCCCTCCCCAGAATTTGGGGACCCTGACGATCCCGGGGATGAGGTCCCTGATGGCTCAGACACAGTGGTGCTCAGTCTCTTCCCCTGCACTCCAGAACCTGAGAATCCTGAACTGGATGCTGGTGCCTCCTCACCTCAGGGTAGGTACTTCTCCTGGGTTCTAGCCTCTGGTATTCAAAGACAGTGGAATGTCAGGCCCAAGATGGGGTCCCTGTCTTATGTCCCACCACCTAAGATGTGTCTTCCTGCTCTACCCAGCGAGAGATTCCTTATTTGTTTGTATTGTGGTAAAATCCACATAACATAAAAGTTACCATTTTAACCAGAATTGGGTACAGTTCAGAGTACAAAGTGGTGTGTAACCCCAATTTCTATCTATACTTCTAGAACATTTGCCTCACCCCAAAAGGAAACCCTGCCCAGGCCACTCCTTGGAGACCTGGGGCACGATGTCCACACAAGCAGCAGGACCCCTGAAACCTCCAGCCTCTCAAAAGACCTGAGGGCCTCACTCTGTACCTTATTTAATGTCTCTAGTGATAGGCAGGGCCCAGGACTCTGCTCCGAGTAATCCAAGGGTTGCCTTTTCTGAGGAGCAACAGGGTTCCCAGATTCTTCAGGTTTCAGTTGACCTCTTAGTGCCTATGGGGATGTCCCCAGACCACTGGCCAGTGGGTCCTGCAGTTTCAAGCTTCTTGGGGAGCTCAGCCCCAAGAGCATCAGTGGAGAGTGGATGGAGGAGTCATACAGTGTCTGTGGTAGCTTCAAGTCCCCAGGGTCTGGCTCGAAGCCTCAGAAACATACTGTAGGGAAGTTGAGGCCCTTCCTTTCTCTCTGAGCAGGCAACTCCCTGAAGCACTCCACAACCCTCACCAACCGGCAGCGGGGGAATGAAGTCTCGGCCCTGCCAGCCACCCTGGACTGTGAGTGGCCCCCATCCCCAAGGTGGGGGAGGGGTAGCAGGGTGGCAGAGCTGAGAGCAACTTGGGACAGGGTAAACTGAGGTACAGAGCAGGGATGAGACAGGTGAAGACTCTGCCTCTCTCTGGCCCCAGCCCTGTCCATCCACCAGCTCGCAGCCCAGGGAGAGCTGAGCCAGCTGAAGGAGCATCTGAGGAAAGGTGTGTGTCCATACCAGTGTGCTGACGTATCTGTGCTTGTCTGACCTTGTGTATTGATATGTGTTGACATGACTTGTGAGTGTCCACATGTGTGCCTGTGTCTATAAGCATGGCCATGTGTGTGCATCCATACATGTGTTCTCCCCTAGTCTGACCCCAGATGACTACCCCATCCCCGCTCCCCCAGTGCTGGGGAGCATGGGCAGGGGTGCAGTCCAGTGGTACCACCCCCTCCTGCCAGGTGACAACCTCATCAACAAGCCGGACGAGCGTGGCTTTACCCCACTCATCTGGGCCTCGGCCTTTGGAGAGATCGAGACCGTCCGCTTCTTGCTTGAGTGGGTGCGTTCCTCCCCAGCTAGGGGCTACTGGGGACTTGAGGGTTATATGGAGTCTTAGCTGAATCTGCTGGTGCTGTGTCTGTAAGATGCGGCTGCCATGGGGACCCCGTAATTCCAGGGGATGCTCCCACCACTCCCTCTGCTTTCCCCAGGGTGCCGACCCCCACATCCTGGCCAAGGAGCGGGAGAGTGCCCTGTCACTGGCCAGCACAGGCGGCTACACAGACATCGTGGGGCTGCTGCTCGAGCGTGATGTGGACATCAACATCTATGACTGGGTGAGGTACAACTCGCCAGCCTTGGGCACCTTGCAGGGTACCAGGCCTGCTTTGGGTGCTGAGAACACAAGACAGACTCATCCTGAGTCTCACAGAACTTCCAGGTTCTTTTTGTGCTGGGGGTGAGGAGCCGATACATAAAAAGCTGAGATGTAGTGAATAGCACTGTGATGGCAGGTACACAAGCAGCTGCAAGAGCCAAGGTGGCCTGTACGGCCAAGGGAGGTCAGGAAGGGCTTCCTGGAAGAAGGGGCATCTAATTTGATACCCAAAGGAGGAGCTAGATGGGCCAGGTGACAAGCAGGAGTAGGAACCACATTAAATTGGAGGGTGCCAGATGGCATGAGAATCCAGAAAAGAGTGCTGGTTGTCCCTGCCCCTGACAGAATGGAGGGACGCCACTGCTGTACGCTGTGCGTGGGAACCATGTGAAGTGCGTGGAGGCCTTGCTAGGTGAGTGGGAGTAGAGGCCAGCCCTGGGGATTCCAGAGCCCCAGCTGGTACAGCAAGAATCCTCAGGGCTAGGGAGGGATCAGAGCTCTGCTTGAACACATCTTGGGAAAGGTGGTCACTGCCTGCTTTTTCCAGAGGTTTGATCAGGGGGCAGGAGGTAGTGGGGTAGCACAGGGGTCTGGCCTAGGGGCTCTGGAGGTGAGGGTTCTGTTGGCCACATTCTTGGGAGAGCGCAGGCTCTCATCCAAGGCTACATTGGCAACTGGAAGACTTGGGGCTGCATCACTGGGGGTCACTGGACCTCTGGTCCTGCACCCCATTCTGGGCTCCCAACCCCCAGGCCCAGCACCCCCTGTAGCACCTGCTGTGCTTCGCAGCCCGAGGAGCCGATCTCACCACTGAGGCTGACTCTGGCTACACCCCAATGGACCTTGCTGTGGCTCTGGGATACCGGAAAGGTCAGCCTGAGATACATGGGGCAGACAGGGTACGGTAGGTGGGATGACCACAGAGGGAACATGGAACATTTCTCTATGTCAGGTGCTAGCAGCAAGAGTATTCACATTAGCAAACATTGAGTGCTACTGTGTACCTGGCCCAGGCACATGCTAGGCCTGGTTCTCAGGGGGCTTCCAGTGTACTGGGGGTGACTGTGTCAGTGACTGAGACCATGATGGGGGACACTCAGGCACTGAGAGGCCCAAAAGAGGTCCTGGCCCCATATCAGGATGGATGGGGGTTAGGGAGGGCTTCCTGGGACCTAAGTGGGGGAAGGATGGTCTAGGTTAGAGGAGCAGCACATGCAGAGGCCTGGCAGGGTGGGTTGCCCAGAGGGAGGGGGCCAGGCCACAGTGCACAGGGCTGTGAAGGCGGGATGTGGGTGTGAGCAGAGCCCTTAGAGAGACCCCAGTTTGACTTCTCCCTATACTTCCCCACCCATAAATCAGGGTGATCCTAACAGAACCAACCCCCGGGGTCATGGGGGGAATGAGGGCTTGGGAAATATCCTTTCCTTGCTTCAAGGAGTCTTACACCATTTGGGACGGAAATCAATTCTCACAGCTGCTCTCATCCTTTCCTAAATGTCATGATTTGCCAATTTTGTTTGGTAAGGAATATTTTCGTGACTCCGAAAAGCTCAAAAAATGCATTTTTACAAACTTATGCTCCTGGGATGGGGGCCTCAGTCTCCCCTAATGTGTCCTGGGAAGAGTATGGATTTTCCTGTGTATGAAGTGGGTCCTCCATCCAGGTGCAGGATGGAGAGGTCCCTGTTCATCACCCAAGGGAAGGATGCAGTTCTCAGGTCAGGTTCCTCACCCCGGTTCAACCCCCAAGGGGAAGGTGCAGATAGGCATATGCCTCTGCAGCCCACATTCCATTAGTACCCACCTTTCCCTTGTCCTGCTTCCAGTGCAACAGGTGATTGAGAACCACATCCTCAAACTCTTCCAGAGCAACTTGGTTCCTGCCGATCCTGAGTGAAGGCCACCTGCCCCCCAGGGACTCATACACTCAGGGAACAAAACAGTTGACCCAGAGCTGGGAGAACCCAGAACGGGCTTTAAAGGCAGCTCCTAGACAGGCAGTGGGAGGGGGCCCTTCCCGAGAGAAACCAATAAACCTGTGCAGAACTTGAAAGACTTCATTGTGCTTCTTTGAGGGCTTCCTGGAGGAAGCAGCTACACAGTGACCTCACACCTTCTCCCCCAGCACCCGCAGGTGGTAGATGACCACACGGCCAAAAAAGTCAGTGGTGTCCTCAAACATCACCTTCAGCCGGTCCACCTCGGCAGCTGGCACGGGAAAGGTGTGAGCACAGCAGTCAAGGGAAACAAGTGGCTTGTCGTTTCCGACCCACCAGCCCCTACCCATTCGAGTCAGACACCACCCTGCACACTGTGGACCCCTCTGAGACTCTCATGCAAAATAGGTAACCATCAGCCCATTTCACAGATGAAGCAATGCAGACCTAGAGGCCACTTTCTCAAGATCACATACAGGGCCCACAGCTTTCAGAGGCACAGATCATCCCACCCCAGAGGCCAGGGCAGGATATCTGAAGCGAGTTGTTATCCTCAGGGTAGAAATCCACAATCTTGTTGAGAGCCTCACACCCTTGGGAACCTGCAGCAGGAAAAGGGGCCAACTGTGAGGCTGGGGTGCCCCTACAAACCCCCCTTCCATGGCCTACCAGTACCTTCTAGGCGACCGCAGCGACTGGAGAAGCCTCCCTGGAACTGGATCTGCAGCTGGGAGACACGGATGCGCTGGGGAAACTCTAGTATCACCCACTGGGAGGGGCCCTGGAAGCAGACAAGGAAACAGGCCCACAGTCACTCCAGGCTCAAAGCCATGCTATGCCCCTCTCTCAGTCAATTGATGGGGTAGGATTCAGCACATGATCTTTCTGGCCAACCATACTGCTCAGCAGAGGTGCCCCGAAGTTCTCCAGGTACCCTTGACCCCTGAATCTGATTCACATGAGGGATGAAGGGTCCAGGGAGGTGCCTCACCTGATCTGAGTTCCAGCATGTCTCCTCATCCTGGTCGAACAGGTGCTTCTTTCCAAACTGCCGGGTGTTGCGATTCAGCACAGAACTCACCCTAGAGACACCAGAATCGGAAAGGAGAGCGGCTGGTCTCACCACTAGTCGGCCCCCTCCTCACCATCTTGCTCCACAAACCCCCAGCTCTAGCCACCGAGGACTCAACCCCTGGCCGAGGGTCCCGAACACTGCCCGCCCCTGCTCCGGGCTCTCACCTGCTGACTGTCTCTGCGCAAACCAGAGAGTGGGTCATCTCAGTTCCACAAGGCCTCGCAGGAGTCAGAGTTGGGCTCAGCCCGGGATTGAATCCTGGCGCCAATGCAGCCACAGCAGCGTGACCCTGTCCACGACTGAGTCTGCACGTCCTCACCTGCAGCACAGGACAAGCACCATCACTGCCCTGTCCACTGCAGTCCTAAATGTCGCCTCGATCACTCCCTTGCTAAAAAAAAAAATGGGAGTTTCAGGGAAACTGCCAATGGCGTGAGGCCAGGCTTTCACAGCGAGTCCAAGGAAGAGAAACAAGTTTCCTGTGGGTTTCAGCGGAGGTCGCTCCGGTTCCGAGCCTCAGTTTTTCCACGAACATAAAACCAAAAGCTGGACCCGGAACCGCAGGGACACTGCACAGGCGCAATGTGACTCAGGCCGCGCCGCTAGCGCTCCCGGGGCGGGGTTTAACTCGAGTCCCCTCCCCTCCGCGCCCGCCTCTAAAAGGGCCCGTGTCCGGTGATTGAGTTGCCCATGATGCTGGAGGAAGAAGGCTGGCAGGTAAAAGCAACCGTATGCCGACTGTGTGCGCGGCGCTGTCCTTTGGTGCCCGCAGGTATAGAGAACTGATTATGGAGACTGAGCGGCTTCTTATAAAGATGTCTTCTTACCTGAGAAGTCTGCCGAATTTATCTCCTAACTGCTAATGCAACCTGTGAACCCCTGCACCTTACTGCCTCCCAGAGGCCAAAGGAAGAGGTCACGATATTGAAAGTACAGGGAGTCTTCATCAGCCTTGTGGGTCTTGTCTGGGACACAGGAGGCCCAGCCTCCAAATCTGTCTTCCCAGTAAATCCTGCCTGGGACAGGCTTTCCGAAGGAGGGGGTTTTGAAGGATGAACAGGAGTCTGCCAAACAAGATTACACAAAGCCTCTGATACCAGGCTAAAGATTTGGTTCATCGATTGACTAAACAACTCCTGCCACTCCCTACTGTCCAGCCTGGTGCTGGATGATGCTGGAGACTGAAAGGCTTTAGTTCCAGCCCCATACCTGAGGAGTCCCCAATCTGGGTAACACAGAGCTAAACACACACACTCCCAGCCCCATGAGGCCAGGGCTGAGCCAGGGGAAGAGATGGCGCTGGGGAAGCAGGTGCTCTACCTAGAGGGAGGGCTTCCTGGAAGAGGGGATATTGTGCCTGCACTTTAATGGATGGGTAGGAGTTCACCAGGGTGAGAAAAATCTGGGAGTTGGGGGTGGGAGGAGGTCCAGGCAGGGAGAAGAGCACAAGCAAAGGCCTGGTTGAGTGAGTTTAAATAAAACATGTGGAGCCAGATCCTTCTGGGCCTGGAGCAGTCACAGAAGGTGTTTGAGAAAGGGCGGGACACCATCCGATGTACATGAATAGAGGGTTCTGAGACAGTTCAGCCACAGGCAGGAGGCTGCGGTTCCTGGCTTCAGCTGAATGGTCTGAGACCCACCCCCTTTCTTCAAAGACTGGGGGAATGGTCCTTCTGGCATCCTACTAGTGTCTGCCCAAGCCCGCTCCGGGAGGGGGTGCTGGCTGGGAAACTGGGACGGGACACTAGCAGGAGTGCCGCCCCATTGGCTCCTGCCTGCCAGGACTTCCTGCATTCAGTCATGGCCTGGTGCCATCCAGATCTGGCTCTCCTGGTTTCAGGGCCGGGGTTGGATGTGGCAGAAAATATCTCCCTCCCCCCAGAAGAAGTTCAGAACAGCATGGACCCTGGAAGGTCCAGTTCAAAGGCCTGGCTAGGCCACTTATTCACTGGCTGTGTGATCTTGGACAAGTATGTGGACCTCTGAGCCTCAGTTTCTCCATCTGTAAAATGGAGAGGATTCTATTTCTAGAACTACTGGAGAGTTCAATGGGATGGCACATGACAACAGTGCTGACCTTTGTTGAGAGCCCACCCTGTATTTTAACTTGAAGCCATGTTTCGTCTCCATCCACTAGCTCGGTAAACATTCTGTGCCTGTCTGTGTCACCTCCATTTTAAAGCAGAGGATACAGCCACTAGACCAAGGTCCACCAGGGAGGATATGCTTGCCCCGGACCCCCCACATTATTCCTGGTCTTGGCATGGAGCTGCCTTGCCCACTGGGATGGGGCCAACTCAGTACACTCTTCCTGCCTCCTCACCCCACCGGCGCCTGGGCATGAAAGAGCCTGCTGTTTCTCCAAGGAATTACCAACTCTAAGCTCCCAGCAGAGCAGCCAAAACTGGTCTATTCATTTGCTTGAGTGAGAAGAGACTGGGCAATACTTCCCCCCTCACCCCAGGGGATGGAGCAGAGAGCACTCTAGAGGAACCAGGAGCTGCAACTCTGGTTCACTGAGGGAAATTGAGGCACAGAAAAGCAGTCATTTGACTAATGTCACCCAGGGGGACTAGGATTCAAACCTCAGTCTGACTCTGGAGTTTCCTCCATCGGGCTGAGTTCTGCATCTTACTGGAGAGGAAAAAGAAGCTCAGAGAGGATCAGAGATTTGCTGAAGTCACACAGCAAGTATGGGTTAGCAAGGTCACTTGCTGGAGAGGCAGCCCCACCCATGGCAGAAAACAGGTCATTTCCATGAGTGTGTCATCCTGGAGCAAGGCAGGGAAAGGCCCGCAGACAGCTTTAAGTCCTGGTTTCTCCCTGGGGAAGAAGTGTAATGGTTTTCCCAGGCTGGAGAATCTTTGGGGGTAAGTGTGACTAGGTCTGACCGGCAGCCCCCTAGGGGCAGGTTGGGATCTGATTTACCTGCTGAGGTCTACCTGGGTCCAACAGGGCCAGCTCAAAGTAGACAGACTCCCCCTCAGTGCCAGCTGGACTGTTGGTCCTGGCAGGGTGTGAGCCTGGGTAAGTGAGGGTACCAGTGGGAGTGGGAAGGGCAGCCAAGCATGAAGGGACCGAGGTGAGCTCATGTGGGAACACCCTGGTACCCTGGGAGTACTGTACATCTCCAGGCTGGTGATGTGGTGCCAGGTGATCATGGCTGAGTGCTGGCTGGCTGTAGGTGTGCCCACAGCTGTAAATGTGGCTGGGTGTGAACAACATGGGGCAAATGTGGGCTGTTTGTGGCAGCCAGAAATGCTGAGGTACAGTGGGTGTGAACAGTAGTAGGTGTGTTTGAGTGTGACAGGACTCTACATGTGGCCAGACTTACAGTTGTGAGTTTGGTTGTGCACCAGGCATGACTTGTATACAGCCAGGCAAGGTGGTGTGTGGCCTGTGTGACTTATATGTAGCTTTGCCAGGTGTGGTTGTATATGAGCATAGTCACTGTGTGTCTGGGATGTAACTGTGTGTCAGTGGTTGTTGGTGACATTGTGTATGATAGATGTAAATCTGATTGCATGTGCCATGTCTGTGTGTCAACTTTGGTACGCTGAAAGGCACTTTGGGGATACTGTCCACCCCTGAGACCTAGCTCTCCTGGAGGGTCCAGCCTCTGGCTCCTGTTCTGGCTCACCAGCCCCTTCCCCTGCTCCCTCTCCACACTCACAGCAGCCCCTGGCCTGGGCCCCAGTGCGGAGGGAACAGAGAAGGCACTCAGGGCCGGGGGGTGGCTCACCCAATCCCAGTGCAGGCCTATAAATAGAATAGCTCTTTGAGCCCAGCAGATTCCCAGGCAAGGTTGCTTCATTCAAGCCCCCGGCAACAGCCCAGCCTGGGCCCCAGGCCAGACCCTCTAAGCTCAGCCCTGGCACCAGCCAGGGGGGCTAGGGTGTGGGAAGGAGGAGGAGTAGAGGGGGAGGGGGATTTGGAGGTGGGGGTCAGCTTGGCTCTGAGGCCACAGTCCTGGGCTCCCCCTTGACCCCTACCCAAACTGTACAGCCCTGGTCTGTCCCTCTGAGCCTGTTTCCCCAGCTGGAAAATGTGCAGTAGCATGATAGCAGCCCCCATCTTGTGTGTTTACTTCCCATCTCATTCCCCCAGCAGCTCTGTACAGTAGGGACTCTTAATTATCTGTTTCAGACAGGGAAACTGAGGCACAGAAAGAAGTGGCTGGCTCAGTGTTACTCTGTTAGGAGAAGTGGAGAGGGGTTCAAACCCTGGACTCATGGAGGCCAAGCTCCCGGCTCCCACGCACATCAAACAACCACAGCCAGACCCCCAACCCCCACTAGACCTCGTCACACCAGCCTGTCACCTGCAGACACATCAGAATGATCCCCAACGTCCATACCTCCTCTGTGATGAGTTAATAAGCAAAGCTCCCCAGTGTGTCACATTGGCCCCTAGGGTCACCACTCACCGACCCCCAGACCAGCAGGCTGGGTCCACACATGCAAGAATTGACATGTACAGACACCTGGGCAGCCTTGCATCCCTGGGGTCTTCCTTTATCCTTCACTTGTAACCACCCCCTATTTGGTAATTTTACTGAAACCATTTTGTCCTATTTGTCCCCCCATCAGACTGAGACCCATCCTCAGAGATGTGCAAACACATACACACACGGGACCTAGGGTGGACGCACAGACGCTCTACCCAGTAAAGTTCATTCTCAGCACTGAGAGACTAGGACCATGGGATGGGAGGTGGGAGAAAGGGTTCACCTCTTTAAGTTTTTATCCCTCCTCATTTCCATTTTTCATTGTGGTAAAATACATAGAACAAAATTTACCATTTTAAAATGTACAATTTAGTGGCAATAAGTATATTTGCATTATTGTGCAACCATCACCTCTCTCAAGCTCTGGAACATTTTCATCACCCCAAAAGGATGTACGCATTAGCAACCACTCCCTATCCCTCCTCACTCAGCCCCCCAACCACTAATATACTTTTTATCTATGGATTTGCCTGTTCTAGACAGTTCATATAAATGAAATTATACATGTGGCCTTTTGTATCTGACGTCTCTCATTCAGCATGTTTTCAAGGTTCATCCACATTGTAATGTCAGTGCTTCATTTCTTTTATGGCCAAGAAATATTCCATTGTATGGATCTAGGCTTTTTAGATTGGGTCTTCCTGCATCTCCCCACAAAGACGTACACATGTCCCCTGCCCAAAGCAAAAGGATTCCTGTGACAACAGTACTTGGTCTACAGCAGGCACTCCATAAATGCTGATTGGATAAAGGAATGAATGGTACGTTCTAGCTGAGGCTAGTAGAAACAGCTCTGGGGATATAAGATACCTGGGATCCTGATGAGTGAGTCTCTTAGCAGCTGTGCGACCCAGGGATCTTCCTATCCTCTCTGAGTCTCAGTTTCCTCTCTTAAATAGGATAAAACAGTAACCCTACCCTAAACTGCTTCAAGTGTGAGCGCTGGAAAGTCAAGGCTTGGATTGAAATCCCAGCTCTGCTCTCACTCTCCACGTGACCTTGGGAGCGACTTTGTCTCCCTGGGGCTCAGTTTCCCCACCTGTAATATGGGGCAGGCCCCACCATCGGGGTCTGGGGACATTTAACGTGGCTCTT